TGAATTCCCTCTATTCATTCGACTAACTTCTCTTTAGTTATCTCACAACTGAACTGTCTTCATTAACCTACATAAGCGCAGGTGTATAGTTGGTCTTTTTACATTAAAAAAGTCTGAGTAAACATACCTTTGTTTTATCCATAAACGTATGTGCGAAGCCGTTGTTCAGCTTTGAACAAGAATATTTTCTGTTCCGCTCCTCGTCCCGTTTTCTTTATTCCTCTTTTTTCAGCACCTTATTCCAATCCTCATATATTAGTCTGGATATTTGCAGTAGACTTGGTTACCCTACCCAGGAACATGTGAAATCATTAGCTGATGAATATCAACCAGACCTTTGTACATTTACCGCATCAATTCTTGTTATATGAAAACCTGTCTCTACCATGAATCGGTTCTCAGTCCATAAGATGATAGTCGTAATGCGACCTTCGTAACTTGAGCCAATTATTCTCATCATACATTCCATCTTTAAGAATACAATGAATCTTGTGAAATGTTTCAGTAACTGTATACCGTTTTAAAAGAAATATGCTGCTAATCTCAACATTTTGATCTTTCCTGTAAATTGGCACGTCTCTTGTAACATGTTTGTTATTTGAGAATAAATTATTATTATTATTATTAAATGCAATTAACGAACATACTTTTTATATTGATAACATAAGTTGAAATAGCGTTACAAAGCGTTTGACGTCGATGACCGTCGGCAATCTTTGAGTATTCTCAGACTTTCACGTCAAGCTTACCATTTTAGCGACTCACGACAGGACTCCATTGTGGACGATTGATCGAGTGTTCAATGAAATAAATCATCCTGTCAATTTCCGCATATCATACTTAGGCAAACCCCGTTCGCGCGTCGGTGGTAGTCAGAAGCGAAACACGTTTCCGGATTTACTTCATTCATCTAAGCAGACAGACATGAGAATGAAAAGCATTCGATCAAAGTGAAGCGAATTGGAGAAGGCGAGTGAGTCAACTCTCCGCGTGTTGAAGAATGACTAAGTATTTATAGTCATTATTAAAATACACATAGAATGCTGAACTGTTTTATTGGAAATAGGCACTGAAAATGCCACGGTCTGCGACAACATATTACTCAGTGCTTTGACGTGAATTCTATCAAGTGTATGATAACAGATTTTACGTATAAGTCATTTCAATTCCTAATATGGTTTCCTACCGTGAGGCATATTGTTATTTTGATTATTTTTATCGTCATTAATAATGGAAGAAAGAGAAAGAGAGAGAGAGAAGTATCTTTGTTCACAAAATAAAAGATCGGAAAATATTGAAATTTATTAAATCATTATGTTAGATAAAACTGTCCTGTAAGTACTTAAAGTACGTGCAAACTGTTAACACGATTTCAAATGTTTTCTTAGAAAATGGAATTTCTGATTTCTGATTTTATAGAATTCGAATTTTGTGGTTTGCAGTGATGGTCTCGTGAAGCATATACAGACCTATCAAGTGCTGCTCACAACAAACTCGGAATTTCAGAAAGCAGGTGGAACCTTACGTATCCTGTAAGAGTCCTAATTAAATGTTCAGTAACATCATCAGCACTCTGACATATTTATCAGGGAAAAAGCAGCAGGAGTTTGCAATACCTGGCGTGTCTTTGTTTTTCTGTCACAGGATAAATTGATTGGGTGGTGAGTTGCTTGGTAACATATCAAGAGCATAGTCAAGAATTATTCTTTGTTAATCAAGTTGTATGAGATGAGATTACCCAACAATTCAAGATGCCTAGTTGAAATCATCGACAGAAAGTCTGCCGCTGACAATGAGTACAAGAAAAAAATGCTGAAGGGATTTTGGCACCGTACCAGCCCTAGCAATCCTATTTGTAGGAAACGTCACTCTTACTAAGGTCAACTTTGCCAAGCTGATGACTTTAATAGAGCTTTATTGAACGGCTAAGATTATTTAAAAATGGGCAGTCAGCAACTCGCTGAAGAAATAGTCAGATGCCACGAAGTTTGGGCTGCATTTCCGCGAATGCAGAATTCATCATCGATAATTTCTCACCCATAGCTCCCCTGGAGAAAGGCTTTTACGCCGTCATAGTCTTCAGTTTCAGTGGCAAAAGCTGGCTAAAACATCTTACTAATAACGATCACCGAAGCTTCAAACGGATGGTGCGTCAGCTTCAAGGGACAGTCTGTATCAAAACTGCCTAGAAGTCCTCCCTGGATGTGGACGCTTGTTGGAATTTCTAGCTGAACGAAATAATAAAACGGTATGTCCCAGAAACTGTGCTCGGAAGTTGCAAGCATCCCGCAGTTACTGGTATTCACACACTTCCTATGCTGAAAACTAAATATACTACTGGGTGAAACACTACCGAACTGTTGACTACAGACAGTCCAAACTAACAAGGAAGCAATGGTAACGGGTGCTTAGAGTAGGTAAATTTTAGTAATAAATCAAGCTAATGTGGAAATCTGCTTTTAATTTCATATTAATAGCTCTGCATACACTTTAAACACAATGAACTCAGTGCTGCGTCTTATTTAGTTATTTTTACCCTCCCAAGTAGCATTTAATTTTTCTAGTTGAATATAAATCTCTTTAGTTTTTATTTGAAATAGACAGGTTACTCTATTCACTGGGTCGATCGACACTGTTCAACTGTAAACTGGTTGATTAGAATGCACTCTACTCTCCTGGGCGCAACCTTATCAACACTTACAACTGTGTGAGTTCCGTATTGCCTATTATCAATTATACTGTTCTCACTTACACGCTATTGACTTACCTTGACCCCGTAGTGTTATCTATTGCTCAACTTTGAACCGTGATACTCTTTATATCTCCTGCTTAGCTAGTTAAGTATATCTTCCCCACTACATTCTAAATGCTTATATCTTGTTTGAAAATTCTTACTATTTCTCCATAACTGTTGAGTGTATAGCATTGATGCCTTACCAATAGTTCATAAGTTGTAACAGCCAGACAAGTTTGTGAAAGGAACTTGCAGAAATAGTGTTTCTCAACAGGATGCGGGACATAGAACACCAAGTAGAACTCAATAGCTTCTTTTAAACATTTAACATGAGCCTAACAACACAAAAGGAGGGAGGGTGGAGTTACTGACCAGCAAACATTGATGGTGTGGGCGATAACTTCAAACAACCCATGTTTGTGGGGCAGAACATTTTGTTTGCTTTCGGTTCTTTAGATTGATGAGACGACTAATCAGTAACACTGTGGTTGCTCTTACACGCTTGCTACTTCTGTGGTTCATGTTTCCAAAACTATGCTGAGGTCGCTATTCTGTCGAGACACCTGCAACATTCTTACTCAGGCGCTAACAGTATGACTTAGAGGTTGCTATTCAATAATAATGATAAAAAAACAGTTAGACAGTGCGAGATTTTATTCATCAATCTTTTCTTTTTACAAACTCTACTCTTTCGATTTCGACGTACATAAATGCAGCTTCTTACTTCGACTTCTCTTCTATCCACCTGACACTGCACAACTCTTCCCTCTTTTTGCTGTACTCCTTTATCTGTGTGTTATATTCTTATATTCCCATAATTTAATTTAATTTAAGTGGTCAGTATGAATTTGATCTTGACTTACTACTGTATTGACTACTTCAACATGACAGGTTAAGTAGTGCTTTGGTTATATATATATACACTTGCCACACTGCTGCCTTTTCCTCTCTCTCTTCTCCTTTTCAGAACCCCATTCACGGTGGGAAATCCTTGGCGACTCTAGGGAACATGCACCCTATGTACGTGACTGTCTGGATCACAGCTCGTATCAAGCGCGTTCCATATGACCTTTCCCAACAAATTCACTATTGATCTCGGCAAATCGCCAAAAGAACTTATTGTGCACCTTCCTTATTTGTACTCTAATATTGAAAATGTGGCCGTTTAATACTGTTTCTGTCAGTGACATGGTGTAAATATGCAATCAGAAACTGTCTCTTATACTTAATTTTACTGCTATAACTTTTACAGTAATTGTGAAAGCATTTGTGACAATTTGATCTAGCCTGTAAACTGGCTTGACTCTTGTAACGTAGTTATTTGAGAATAAATATATTATTATTATTATTAAAACGTACAACTGAAGCAATCAATGAAGGCATATTACCAATGTATACATGGAGGGATTTTCACAAACAAAGCCTTCAAAAACCGATCTTACAATCACCCTCTTGGATCGAGTGCAGGATTGGAAAATAAACCTCATGAAGATAAACTTCTGCTCTTAGGATTATCTCCGCTGAGTTACTGGAGAATCGGAGGTGATCTGACAACAACGCACGACATATCAAGCACGCTGAATCATCTGAACATGAGAATCTAACCGAAGCTTCATCATCACGACCTTCGAGGTAATCTTCGAAAAACTGTAGATTCAAGAAGAAAAAGCAGTTTCGCTTGCACCTTTTCTCATCAAGAGTTGTTTGAACTTGGAACGCTCTCCCAGCGATATGGTCACAGACCCTTCAGTGGACAGCTTCAAGAAGATTAACACGTTTTGACGTTATGATTTTAATCTCCGTGGATCAGCTATACTTGATGCCTGTCTGGAAACTTGCTAAATATCGCTATTACCATCTCCTCAGAACACTAAATTAACCCCTCTCGATCAATAACTCTGTTTCCTATCCCTAGGTTAAACATCTGTCCTTGTACAATCTTCACTACCAACTTATTAACTCAGCCTTTAATTTACTTATTTTTGAAATTTTCTCATCGGAAATAGTATAATTACATCACATTATTATTCAAAAATAATCACTTAAATGATGACTGCTGGAATCCAGAAACCCGACTGCACTAACACAAACGCACTCACGCAAGTCATGGGACGTACAAAATCATAAGTAACTGCCAACTTACTAGGATTAGTCCAGTCGAGTAGCTAGACTACCATCCATCAGATACTACGGAATACATGGAACCGATAGCGAATAAATAAATCCGTTGAAACTTGCTCGTGAAAGAAATATTGGACATTTGGTATTTTCGAGAAATTGGACATAACACTAAAGAGGCTATTTTGGAATCGCTGGCTTCCTTCATTCTTAATTAAGTTTAGTTTGAGAGTAAGTGGTGTGTGTTATCACCTTCTTTTACTCGTCCCGCGATATATTTATATGCAGTCCTGTGAATAACTTTGGCCCTCCACGTATGTTTAAAAATGTAGCGTGACATCTTGAAGAGATAGAATTCATTTGCAAAGTCTTTTCAGAGAGTGGAGAAAAGCTTCCATAATCTAGTTCAGATAACTGTCTGTTTAGAAGTTAAAAACCGAATTTTCACCCCTGATTAAGTTTCATTCTAATAATCTGGGTTTTCTCCTGGTGTACATTCCTGGTATTTTAAAATTGCAAGCTAATGTCATCGATGTGTGTTCTCCCTGAAATGTCATCCCATTAACTACATGAAAACGCCTCAAATATTTTCCGTCTTAAAATGTAACCGAGTCTGCGGATTGTAAGTTGAATTAATAATCCCAATTAAACAAGAATGTAAGAATAATATCGAGACGTCTAGTTCTACACGTGACGTAGGCCATTTTAGGGAAATAGAGACTGTGTTAATTTAGGTGAAAATCATACAATCTGGAGTGAATTTAGGCGAGAAGTGGACTATTCGGCGCAACGAAAGCATCAGTCTATAGATCTTTCACTACTTGTGAGAAATTTAAGCGCAAATCTCTATTTCCTGAGCTTAGGTAAAAAAGGTAAATTTGCATCAAAATTTCCCCAAACTTATTTGGCTAATGTCGCTTGTATTTCTCTATTCTTTTTTGATTGGGACTCGGATTCTGACTCATTTGAGTTTTACTTAAGATATAACTACGTCAAGCATTAACTTTCTAAAAGAAAAAAGCAAGTTTTCAAGCGTGGTGCAAAGTTTGTAGGTCAGTTCATACTAAATATATTAACATTATGATAATCAAAAGTGTTTGGAATGATTTCAAAATAAGTTACTTCCGAACCGTTTGCTTAAATGTCCAGATTTTGACAATCGACTCTGGTTAGTTTTTAACTTTCTATCACTCTTTGATAATCATTGTTATCATTCTCATTAAGTTACACTTTGGCTGTATATTGCTTGGATATTTCGTGAAAGTCATTTCAATCATATGCTTTTAGTCGGTCAGTGGTTGTGTTATCTTGCTTCTCGTGTATGTCAATGGCACAGCATCTTGATTCGCTTTCAGGAAACATCTTATCTCGTGAGCTCCATCTGAGCGTCAAGTTGCGACATTTAAATATATAGAGATTTAGAAACTATTATAATGGTGAGGGAGTATAAACATCTGTTGATTAGGTTAAAGTAGAACTGGGACTAAATTAAAGAATTGAGTTTCTAAGCAAATTAATGGGCAGTTTGATCCTCAGTGGGCATATTTGATTATTAGTGCAGTAAGTTTTTGACTATTGTATAACAAGGTCTATAAACGTATTAAGTTATTCAGTCAGTCAGTTACAACGTGGAACTTCGTACGTACGTACATCAGTTCAAGTTGCCATACCACCCGACCGTAGCTGCTACCTTGACGTGCTGGTCGGGCTTGCCTATCGTGATGACCCAACCGAGCTATACTGGCTGGAACATATGTTCCTGCAGGTCCTACCATGCCAGGCTGGTCGATTGGAGAACGATGAGACTAAAAGCAGCTACGCAAGGTCTGAGGGCGAAGTCGTACTGCTGACTGCAGAGGGGTGTGACAGCAGTAAGGTGTTTCCCTCGGACAACCAGCATCTGCAGCGATGCTGCCTTCTCACAAGGAAGGAAGGGTTAGAAAAGGTCGACCCTAAAAATGTCACACCTCCCCTACCTCACGGATTTCCGTCTCCTTGGGTAAGGGTGCCCACTAAGGGCCTTTAAGAACGAAGCTAATCCTCAAAAAACGTTTCATAAAAAGGCCGTGCGTGACCGGCCTCAAGCAGTTGTCCCTTGGGCTCTGCGGTCACGCACCCAGGTCTCTAAGACCAACACTAATCTATTTTCGTTTTCAGGTTCCTCAAAAAACAACCTTCCACGGTGTGGGCAGCCAGGGAGTGACAACCGCCCTCATACCCGTAACAGCACGCAAGACCAAATTGGTCAAAATCAAATCCTTCCTACCCCACACATACCTCTCTTCTCTCCACAACTAACTCTACTCACATTCCCTTATCTGACTGCACCGCTAATGCAAACGATGGGAGTTCACGAAACGTCATTCCTGGTCTCTTGAAACCTCGTTCTAGACTAGATGTTGGAGCATTTAATGTACGGACATTGTGTCAAATAGGGCAACAGGCATCATTAGCTAGGACTTTAGAATCTCGTGCCATCGATGTATGCTGCGTCTCGGAGACGCGCATACAGGATTCTAGTAAAACTATTAATCAGATTTCACCTTGTCAAAATAAAGAAGTAGCTCGATTTGCTCTGCGTGTATCCGCTAGCCCTGATGCTGCTTCCAGGGGTCTTGCTGGCGTAGGCATAGCATCGAGTCGTGGAGCTGAACAATCTCTCCTTGACTGAATCCCAGTAGATAGTCGTTTGTGCGCTGTCCGACTAAATGGGACAGTAAGGACTCGGAAAGATAGGGACAATGGCCGTTGCCTCTTCATCGTATCTGCCTATGCCCCCACTGACTGCAGTTTAGACGATGTGAAAGATGAGTTCTACAGAAAGCTTTCGGACCTCCTCCAAAAAGCTAGGCGCTCTGATATAGTATTAATGGCTGGTGACTTCAATGCTCAAGTAGGTAGACTAAGTGAAAATGAAAGACACCTAGGTGGATGTTATGGTGTCGCGGCTCAGAGAACAGACAATGGTGACCGTCTGTTGCAAGTATGCTCAGACAACCGCCTATTCTTAGCAAGCACTAACTTTAGGCATAAGGAAAAACATCTGTTGACCTGGCGACCACCGAATTCGTCTCAACATTGGACTCAACTAGGTTACATCGCCATCAGCCGCCGATGGAGTGGTTCGATAGAAGACTGTCGCTCGTTCTGGGGCACATGTTTAGATTCAGATCATCCCCTAGTGCGAGCGCGTATTTGTTTGAAGCTTACTGGGCGTAGGAAAGACACCGTAAGAAAGCCTCTTAGGGTTTTACTTAATGATAATAAGGCGAAGAGTATATTTCAGGAACAACTAGAAAGACAGTTAGGCGA